GAATACACCTTGCTGGTAGTGTCTTGTAGTTTTTCTAAAACTTTTTGTGTGCAGTTTTACCTTCTTGACTACTCTTTGAAAAGCATTACAAATGTAATTGTTTACTGCCATTTTGTTTGTTTTTGTGTGCTTCAGTATTAGTTTGTGATGTGTTTTAATTACATGCCCGTTGTTTCACAGATAAAAAAAATTTAAATCAATCTAATTAAAATTACAAGGTATAAAATCTTAAACATAAATTATTTGTGTAGTTGAATATCCCACAATCAAAATAAAAAATATTAAATTATTATTTTTCCTCTTCATCTTTTCTTCTTCTTCTGCATATATTATCACTACAGAGAAAGGAGAAAGTAAGAGGGTAGTTACTAGATGTATGTACTCACACATCGACACATAGGTTTCTAGACTCAGATCTGTAAAGACCAACTGGCACTCAATGGATTATGTCACCTAAACTTCCATAAACATTGTCTGGTATCCATTTTAGGCTCGATCAATCTGGGAGCCAGCGTCAGTCTGTTTCTGCCTGCTGCAGATTCCAACCCTAGACCTTTGGTCTATGCACGTTTTTTGTGATAGTACAAAATAAAGTTTGTGGGCAATAAAAATTAACAGAAAAGCAAGAATTACAACAAAATTAACAGAAAAATATAATCATATATTGAACAACTATTAGTACTATTACAGTATATCTAAAACTGAAATTAATTACATATAGAATTACACTTGACGCAAGAGAAAACTTTAAGATATGATGTACACAGTTAGGAAATAGAAATATTCTCAAGAACAGTAAGAATTTCATATTATTATTTATATTTTAAAAATCTGGATTGCAGAGACACTCAGAGCAAAACAATCAGTTGTTATGGTCATCATCACTGTCACAACCCTATCAAGTACAGTCAGTGTACCACACCGTAGGTGGGGGTGTTGACGTGACACCCCAGGGTTGACACAGAGGTCAGGGCCGTGACTGGTCAAGTCCGTTCTGTGATCGCACGGCGAAACCAGCGCTCAGGATAAAGCAAGAAAGATTGAACTGTGTTGTAGTAACACGATGACTGCTTTTGGGACTGAGCTGGTGAACGGGGTCAAGAGACACGAGGGAGAGAGGACAGGAGATTCGGTGTGCGTCGGTCAGGAAGAGAGGACGTTTAGCAAGACAGTTATGTTATAGTATTAGAGTTAGGATATATTTCTGTTAGTGACTGGATAGTTTATGTACAGTTTTGTGTTAGGATAGGATAGTTCTTGTGTAGAGTATTTATGTATATGTGCTGTGAGAGAGTGGCTAACCTTGACACTCTGACCCTGCACTAAGACAGAGACTGTGACAGTTTGGTTGGGTCAGCGTGGCGATAGAAGAGAGCGTATCCTGCCGGGTTGTGGTTTGTACACCAGAAGATTGCCTGTCGCACGTACTGGGGACGGGGCGATTGTAAAGCCCGTTCAGCCAGAGGGTCCAGGCAATAGGTGGCCACACGGCGGGAAGTCAACTGTCTATGTATTACCTGTACTTCCAATAAAGATTGTCGTGTGTGCTCTGTGTGCGTTCGGGTTCAGTGTGTGTTGAAGGTTAGTCTGTCTGTCATAGGCCTAGTTAGCGAGCCACGGACCGGCAAGGTCATACCAGAGGTTTGTGACAATCACCAACAGGTACCTGGCCAAATGGCATGAGCTTTCATGCTTGTCTGCATCAAGTATCTTCAACAGCATGCCTTAGTTCATGTGTATACTTCCTTTCATGTCAACACTAAAAGCTGTCAAGAGTCTGTATCTATCTCTCTTTAAATAAATCATTTCAGTTGTCACAGTTTCACTAATTCTTTTCTCATAATGTGACCAGAAAACAATTACTGCCTCTTTCTGATGTTTGTGATAAATTGTCTTCAGGTCTTAGCTTTGAAAACATCCAGATTATTCCTGCAATATCTTGGGAATGTTGAGAATTCATCTGCTAAAATGTATGGCTTGTTTACTAATTGTCCAAGATGCATAGCCAAAAATAAAAACTGGTTGCATACGTCCAATGACAGGGATTGACTGCATACGCATGCTCTTCAGTTCATGTTTTTTGTTTACTGTTCGACCTGAGCAAAGATGGGGTGACCCGTTTGCTATGAAGCTGAAACTAAGACTACCAGACTACCTGTAATAAAACCACTTGATAGATGTAGAATGTCATGCAGATAATACCAAAGAAAAGCTTCTTTACCTTCTAACTTAGATTACATTCTAGACACTAAAGTAGATCACAGAACTCAAGTTTCCATTGAAAGATAAACTGTACAGCATAACTCCGTCTGGACTTAGAGATAACTGAAGCACATTGTTAACTTAGAACACTGTGCAGAATTAAAGGTTTGAATAAAAACACACAAAACAGTGGCCTTATTAGTGGATGTAAATGTGATTGCTGGAGAACAGATGAGAGACACCGCATTAACAGATAAAGGTTTGGGTAAAAAATAATAATGTAATCTTGAAATATTAAATAATAGAAGAGATAAAACACTAAAAGGGTGCTAATCATTTCAGCACCAAACCAGAAATCTGCATAAGAAGCTGAGATAAAGTATTTACGTACACAGAAAACTGTCTCAAGAACGGTATTTTAGTGGTAGCTTGCACTGGGCAATAAGGAATCCACCAAGGCACATTATATTTATCAACATTTTCACAAAAATAATCAGTGATTTTTAACATCAATTATCATGGGTATGCTTTTGATGTTGCCATTTATCTCTAACAAAAACAAAATAAAATGTCATACAACATTCAAACTGGATCAAGACAAAGGCTTAAGACCGGTGCAACAACAACAGAAAAACCCTAGGGGAATGCTATGAAGTAAATATAAACTTGTTTTATGAGGAACTGACAACACTGCACCTGGGGACAAGCAAATAAGCATTATGTCTCTTCATGCAGAAGTCCAACTGTGCGAATATTGATAGTCAACGATGCACGCTGACCATATATATGTCAAAACTTTCTGGTTACTCTGATCAGCTTCACACTTATTTCTCCGCTCCAACAGCCATAATCCTGAATGTTCATCAAAGTACACCAGTCAGTTATTTACTGATCACAGAATGTATATCTCCTCCACTCACATTCAGTGTCCCAGTGGTATGTGTGTCTGAAGCTAGCAGATGAGCTATCATGACCTTAAGCACCCTGCAGAACCTGGATAATAAACTATACAATTTCTCAAAAGTGTGCGGCCTCCACAAACGGCAGACAGCCCTACTGCAGCATCCATTCTCAACTTTCACAAGTAGGAAGTGAGAGTAAAAGATAACAGCTGTCCTTGTAAGTGACCTATAAGAGAGCCCATGTAATACCACAGTGACAGCTTCAGTTCCAGTTTTTACACTGAGAAAGACAATGGATTAGAAGTAATCAGGCTCAACAACTAAATCTATAAACACAACAAAACAGACTACAGAAGTATCACTGATGCACTTATACTCAATGGCTAAGTTGAAAAAAAAAAGTGTAGATTAGGAAGTAACACCGGTCTCTGTGTATAAAAGCAAGCATACATTAAAAAACATAACAATATCTCAGATACATACTTCTCGTCCTTTTTAGGACGAAATTTTTTGTTATTTGTAGCCCTACTCTGGCTTTTGCCATGGGCCGCAATATAGCCTGGCCATAAATATGGCCTAAAGACTGAACGCGGTTTCTGGGACCTCTTCACAGTTATCCTCACCCACATGGTGGCACTTTGTGTCATCAGGTGTTTATCACTTGTGTGATGTCCTGGTGGAGAAGAAAGTCAGTCAATCAGTCAAAAAACATCAAAGCAAGCAACAGCAAAGAAGCAGGTCTCTACATAGTAAAAGTAGAATTAAAATTAATGAATGCTGCCAATTGTATTATATACAAAACTTCTTGTTGCAGGTGCCATTTATGGATGGGGCGAGGGGGTGGGGAAGAACAGAATTGCTGCTCCTTAACATGAAAGGTGTCTAATTAAGGGTTTGCTGAATGGATGTGTTGAGCTAAAGGTGCAGATACTTACAGCCTTGTTGTACACCACAACATAACTAACCACCTTTTTTGAAGTGAAAACAGAAGCCGACGGTGTAGCGCCAGTGACACACCCCAGGAATATCTGTATCAACTGTACTTGTGAACTGAACGATGGAGACCTTCAGAGCTGGAAGTAATTGGCTTGACCACTTCATCATGAATAGCTCTGGTATTTAATTAACTGTTAATGTAAAATAACTTCAAAGCAGGTTCTTCTCATAAACATATATGTGCTCCCAGAGCTACTCCACTCTATAGAGTCACTGATAACAATCACTTGAGATAACATTGGTGAGAACTTGAACTCTTGTTCTAGTCTCAGTGGTAATGGATACATGGAAGTGGGGTACAAGTACTGGAGAATATAAGTTGAGGAAAGAAATGAGTCTTCATGCCAGCTAAAAAGAACTTTACAAAGAAGAGCAAACTGCGCCATCACTAGGTGGAAAGATGGCATCAAAAGTAAAACAGAGATATGTTTAAAAAAAATATGACTACAGATGCAGTGGGAAGTGGTTGCATTATACTATCTGAGACCATTATGAGAAAGTAATAAACAAGAGTATACAAAAATTGCCAAAAGCTGCACTAGCTAAAACTATTTACAAACACCATAGTATTTTTGTAATTTGAAAAAAAAAAAAAACAATAGTAAATACACTGTTTCATCTATTCTTTTCTAATATGATTTAAAACCACAACAAACAAACAACATTCATTAAATGAAAGTGCAACAATTTCTCTATTTCTCTAACACATTTCTATCCCAGTTTTAAATGTCTGGCATATTTATCCTGTAAATAAATATGAAGATGTGTTTACACAAGTCCTTCTAAAATTTTACACAGGACAAAGATCACAGTCAGGTGTGTGAACTTCTCAATCAGAGCCTATTCTGGCACACAGTTAGCTTCATTAGCAGGTTGTCATCGATGAAAGAAACATTCCTACTAACTTTCACATGAGTCACCCAATGACTCACTTGAACACTCCACCTTAATGTGATCTGTGAGACCACTCTCCTCAAGATGTCTCTTCCTGTCAAGAGGGAACAAGTCAAGGCTCTTCAAACAAGTAGAATAAACAATGTCAACAAAATACAACACATTCAACAGTTTTCTAGAAACATGAGGACTGACTGAATCAACATCACTGTTGCACACCGCTACAATTGGTATCTCTTGTGACTGACACCATGGGCTTGTTAACTTGGCAAACCAATCATGTGACTTGTGCCCTGGGCCTGTTAGCTAGGTAAACCATTCTTGTGACTTGTGCCCTGGGCCTGTTAGCTTGGCAAACCAATCATGTGACTTGTGCCCTGGGCCTGTTAGCTAGGTAAGCCAATCTTGTGACTTGTGCCCTGGGCTTGTTAGCTTGGCAAACCAATCATGTGACTTGTGCCCTGGGCCTGTTAGCTAGGTAAGCCAATCTTGTGACTTGTGCCCTGGGCTTGTTAGCTAGGTAAGAAAATCATGTGACTTGTGCCCTGGGCTTGTTAGCTAGGTAAGCCAATCTTGTGACTTGTGCCCTGGGCCTGTTAGCTAGGTAAGCCAATCTTGTGACTTGTGCCCTGGGCTTGTTAGCTAGGTAAGCCAATCTTGTGACTTGTGCCCTGGGCCTGTTAGCTAGGTAAGCCAATCTTGTGACTTGTGCCCTGGGCTTGTTAGCTAGGTAAGAAAATCATGTGACTTGTGCCCTGGGCTTGTTAGCTAGGTAAGCCAATCTTGTGACTTGTGCCCTGGGCCTGTTAGCTAGGTAAGCCAATCTTGTGACTTGTGCCCTGGGCTTGTTAGCTAGGTAAGCCAATCTTGTGACTTGTGCCCTGGGCCTGTTAGCTAGGTAAGCCAATCTTGTGACTTGTGCCCTGGGCTTGTTAGCTAGGTAAGAAAATCATGTGACTTGTGCCCTGGGCTTGTTAGCTAGGTAAGCCAATCTTGTGACTTGTGCCCTGGGCTTGTTAGCTAGGTAAGAAAATCATGTGACTTGTGCCCTGGGCTTGTTAGTTAGGTAAGCCAATCTTGTGACTTGTGCCCTGGGCTTGTTAGCTAGGTAAGCCGATCTTGTGACTTGTGCCCTGAGCTTGTTAGCTAGGTAAGCCAATCATGTGACTTGTGCCCTGGGCTTGTTAGTTAGGTAAGCCAATCTTGTGACTTGTGCCCTGGGCTTGTTAGTTAGGTAAGCCAATCTTGTGACTTGTGCCCTGGGCTTGTTAGCTAGGTAAGAAAATCATGTGACTTGTGCCCTGGGCTTGTTAGCTAGGTAAGCCAATCTTGTGACTTGTGCCCTGGGCTTGTTAGCTAGGTAAGCCAATCTTGTGACTTGTGCCCTGGGCTTGTTAGCTAGGTAAGCCAATCTTGTGACTTGTGCCCTGGGCTTGTTAGCTAGGTAAGTCAATCTTGTGACTTGTACCCTAAGCTTGTTAGCTAGGTAAGCCGATCTTGTGACTTGTGCCCTGAGCTTGTTAGCTAGGTAAGCCAATCATGTGACTTGTGCCCTGGGCTTGTTAGCTTGGCAAACCAATCATGTGACTTGTGCCCTGAGCTTGTTAGCTAGGTAAGTCAATCTTGTGACTTGTACCCTAAGCTTGTTAGCTAGGTAAGCCAATCTTGTGACTTGTGCCCTGAGCTTGTTAGCTAGGTAAGCCAATCATGTGACTTGTGCCCTGGGCTTGTTAGCTTGGCAAACCAATCATGTGACTTGTGCCCTGAGCTTGTTAGCTAGGTAAGCCAATCATATGACTTGTGCCCTGGGCTTGTTAGCTAGGATAAGCCAATTGCATTCCAGAATGGCCACTGTACCAATGTTGAAATCAGTGCAAGGCGATCTGCTGCCAAATTTCCCGCAGCTGGGATCAAACCTGGTCTTCATCACTGCAAAGTGGGTTCATAAATGCCAATCCCCTACACAAAATTGTCATAAATGGTTATTAATTAAGGGTCTGCTGTAACTGAATGTGTTAGGCCTAACGGCAGATATCTCAGCCCAGCTTTAAACCCCAATACACCATTCCAACAGCTTTTTTAAGGATGAACACAAGAGAACAAGCAGGTAATGTTGCAAACAATGATGGCTGCCTCTCTTTGAAATCTGTGATAAGCTGTCTTCAATCATTGTGTCTTTTAAACATTTAGATTACTGAGTAAGGTTACTCAGTGTCTAACATTATGATTCCTTCGAAAGAACACTGTTACTCAATGTTTAACATTATGATTCCTTCAGAAGAACACTGTTACTCAATGTCTAACATTATGATTCCTTCAGAAAGAACACTGTTACTCAAGTGCCTAACATTATGATTCCTTCAGAAGAACACTGTTACTCAATGTCTAACATTATGATTCCTTCAGAAGAACACTGTTACTCAATGTCTAACATTATGATTCCTTCAGAAGAACACTGTTACTCAATGTCTAACATTATGATTCCTTCAGAAGAACACTGTTACTCAATGTTCTTCAACATTACATTATGATTCCTTCAGAAGAACACTGTTACTCAAGTCTAACATTATGATTCCTTCAGAAGAACACTGTTACTCAATGTCTAACATTATGATTCCTTCAGAAGAACACTGTTACTCAATGTCTAACATTATGATCAATGTCTAGAAAGAACACTGTTACTCAATGTCTAACATTATGATTCCTTCAGAAGAACACTTTTACTCAATGTCTAACATTATGATTCCTTCAGAAGAACACTGTTACTCAATGTCTAACATTATGATTCCTTCAGAAGAACACTGTTACTCAATGTCTAACATTATGATTCCTTCAGAAGAACACTGTTACTCAATGTCTAACATTATGATTCCTTCAGAAGAACACTGTTACTCAAGTGCCTAACATTATGATTCCTTCAGAAGAACACTGTTACTCAATGTCTAACATTATGATTCCTTCAGAAGAACACTGTTACTCAATGTCTAACATTATGATTCCTTCAGAAGAACACTGTTACTCAGTGCCTAACATTAGATTCCTTCAGAAGAACACTGTACTCAATGTCTAACATTATGATTCCTTCAGAAGAACACTGTTACTCAATGTCTAACATTATGATTCCTTCAGAAGAAACACTGTTACTCAATGTCTAACATTATGATTCCTTCAGAAGAACACTGTTACTCAATGTCTAACATTATGATTCCTTCAGAAGAACACTGTTACTCAATGTCTAACATTATGATTCCTTCAGAAGAACACTGTTACTCAATGTCTAACATTATGATTCCTTCAGAAGAACACTGTTACTCAATGTCTAACATTATGATTCCTTCAGAAGAACACTGTTACTCAATGTCTAACATTATGATTCCTTCAGAAGAACACTGTTACTCAATGTCTAACATTATGATTCCTTCAGAAGAACACTGTTACTCAATGTCCTAACATTATGATTCCTTCAGAAGAACACTGTTACTCAACATGTTCTGTACATTATGATTCCTTCAGAAGAACACTGTTACTCAATGTCTAACATTATGATTCCTTCAGAAGAACACTGTTACTCAATGTCTAACATTATGATTCCTTCAGAAGAACACTTTTACTCAATGTCTAACATTATGATTCCTTCAGAAGAACACTGTTACTCAATGTCTAACATTATGATTCCTTCCTTCAGAAGAACACTTTTACTCAATGTCTAACATTATGATTCCTTCAGAAGAACACTGTTACTCAATGTCTAACATTATGATTCCTTCAGAAGAACACTGTTACTCAATGTCTAACATTATGATTCCTTCAGAAGAACACTGTTACTCAATGTCTAACATTATGATTCCTTCAGAAGAACACTTTTACTCAATGTCTAACATTATGATTCCTTCAGAAGAACACTTTTACTCAGTGTCTAACATTATGATTCCTTCAGAAGAACACTGTTACTCAATGTCTAACATTATGATTCCTTCAGAAGAACACTTTTACTCAAGTGTCTAACATTATGATTCCTTCAGAAGAACACTTTTACTCAAGTGCCTAACATTATGATTCCTTCAGAAGAACACTGTTACTCAGTGTCTAACATTATGATTCCTTCAGAAGAACACTGTTACTCAATGTCTAACATTATGATTCCTTCAGAAGAACACTTTTACTCAATGTCTAACATTATGATTCCTTCAGAAGAAGAACACTTTTACTCAGAAGAACACTCTAACATTATGATTCCTTCAGAAGAACACTGTTACTCAATGTGTCTAACAACACTGTTACTCAATGTCTAACATTATGATTCCTTCAGAAGAACACTGTTTACTCAATGTCTAACATTATGATTCCTTCAGAAGAACACTGTTACTCAATGTCTACTTATGATTCCTAAAGAACATTATGATTCCTTCAGAAGAAAGCACACTGTTACTCAATGTCTAACATTATGATTCCTTCAGAAGAACACTGTTACTCAAAGAACACTGTTACTCAATGTCTAACATTATGATTCCTTCAAAAGAACACTGTTACTCAATGTCTAACATTATGATTCCTTCAGAAGAACACTGTTACTCAATGTCTAACATTATGATTCCTTCAGAAGAACACTGTTACTCAATGTCTAACATTATGATTCCTTCAGAAGAACACTGTTACTCAATGTCTAACATTATGATTCCTTCAAAAGAACACTGTTACTCTATATTTAACATTGCAATTCCTTCAGAAGCACGCTGTTACTCAGTCTAACATTATGATTATGCAATTCAGAAAAAAATGTCATATTTACCAGATAACTGGAAATTTCTCCACAATATCTGTTACACTTAGTTGCTGAAGCTCTGTTTGCTTAATGGTCCATTTTAGAAAAGAAATTCCAACATTCTGAAAAACAATATTTTATAACCAAAAAAACAGATACTTTCTATATCTATAGAGAAAGAGCAAAAACACTATATAGTTATGGAATGTTCTTGTGTCTCTATACTTCCCTTTCTCTAGTAAATCAACCAGGTGTGTCTCTAAACTTCCCTTTCTCTAGTAAATCAACTAGGTGTGTCTCTATACTTCCCATTCACTAGTAAATCAACTAGGTGTGTCTCTATAGTTCCTATTCTTTAGTAAATCAACTAGGTGTGTCTCTATACTTCCTATTCTTTAGTAAATCAACCAGGTGTGTCTCTATACTTCCTATTCTTTAGTAAATCAACCAGGTGTGTCTCTACACTTCCCATTCTCTAGTAAATCAACCAGGTGTGTCTCTGTACTTCCCATTCGCTAGTAAATCAACCAGGTGTGTCTCTATACTTCCCATTCTCTAGTAAATCAACCAGGTGTGTCTCTATACTTCCCATTCTCTAGTAAATCAACTAGGTGTGTCTCTACACTTCCCATTCGCTAGTAAATCTTTCCCAGCTAATAGTGAGGGTACTGCTGGGGTGACCATTTGTTAACCCCTCACATAATGCTTCAAGTCACAGTGGACACTAGGCCTGACCACTTTCTAGGATGTCTGACATTTGTGAATTCCTTCTCATTAAGCACACTACTGAAATCTAACAGTGTGTTTCCTACAGGAGCGGAGCAACAATTGACCCATGATGCTAAACTAGGATTCCTTACCAGATTAGTAAATCAACCAGGTGTGTCTCTATACTTCCCATTCTCTAGTAAATCAACCAGGTGTGTCTCTACACTTCCCATTCTCTAGTAAATCAACCAGGTGTGTCTAACATACACTTCCCATCTACACTGTGTCTCTACATTATCCCATTCTTCAAAATCAACCAGGTGTGTCTCTACACTTCCCATTCTCTAATAAATCAACCAGGTGTGTCTGTATAATGAAAGTTGGTTGCAAATGGATCTTCTGATACCTCTTATTATTGTTTGTCCATTTCTTAATGTTATTCTTCCACTTGTAGCACTGTCTATCTCTTGCTCACCTGGCTTAAACTTTTCCCTACTGTATGGGTTTTACAAAAGTATTATGTCTTTTAATGTGTCCAAAATATGTAACTTTTTTATCTTTTTCATTTTGTTCAAAAACTCTTTTTTTTCATTCAGAAACTCTCCAATATGCCAGCATTTGACTGTTTTTGTTTACAGGAGACTGTGTTAGTCATGCTCCATGTAGTCACGAATATATGTCTGGTACTAAATACAGAGAAAGAACTCATGCCATGCATTGGCAAGGCATCAGCATCTTTGAAAATCCTGAATAAAATATGGCACTCTAAACTGTAAAGTTTTAGAACCAAGTCTTCTTCTTCTTCTTCTTCGATCCTTCTGTCAGAAAACTTATATCAGGAGGCCGGTAGCCTTTATGAAAGCTATCGTGCAATCCATATCCTCTCGTGTACCATACAGTTTTGTCTTCATTGTGGTTGGAACAGGCCAGATTGCGTCTCTGTTGTCAGCATACAGTTGACAGTGTTGGAGCACATGCTCAGCATTTTCGGGTGCCACGCTGCAGGGACACGTCTCCGTATTTCCTACACCGAAAAATTTGAACATATGTTGACGAAATCTGTTGTGCCCAGTCTTTAGTCTGAATATAATGCACTGTCCCTCTCTAAAGAGGCGATGAAGTGAGTCTTGGGGAGAAAATCTGGTGTGGGTATCCAGCCACCTTTCTTGGATACTAGATTGTATTAATGTTTTCATCTCTTGGTGGGTTAAGTCGCTATTTGGTTGTACCATGTCACTGCCGCTTCTGGCCAACCTGTCCGCTATTTCATTGCCTTCCAAGCCACAGTGACCTGGAATCCACTGCAGTACAGATTGTTCTACTGAAGAGCCTAAGCAAATCAGCTGTTGCGTCAAGTCTACAAACTGAGTGTCTTTTGGGTTAACAATTGCTTGTAGAACTGACAATGCATCAGTCAGAAAGACCACTCTGCTATATTTGCTGTGCTGTTGTCCATTCAGGAAAGAACATGCCGCTAGAAGTGCTTCTGCCTCTGCTCTGTAATTGGAGGAATATGAACCTGTTGGTACAGCCTAGTTGATTTATAAACTATTTGGGCATTCTATGTATATTCCTCCTCCTCCGTCTCTTACTGCTCTCTTGGCTGAACCATCTGTATACACTCGAATCCAACTCTGGTGTGGATAAAGTCTATTGATCTCTCCTTCTGTAGTTGATTTCATATCAGTGCTGCTCATTGATGATTTGGAGGAGACCCCTGTTACAGTGGTTCTGACTGTTGGTAGGCTATCCCTAAGCCAAGCGGGGCAGTCGTTGTAAGGTTTAAGTGGAACATTTGGTATTATGGGAGGGAGTTTAAGGACAGCGAGCTTGGCATTTGCGTTCTTGATAAAACAGGTTCTCTTTAGTCTAGCCTTCTGGGGTTTCTGCAGTCGGCTGTACATGGGTTGTTCTTGAAAGTGGTTGTATTTGGAGAGCTGGGTGAGGAGCTTTGTGTCTCTCCTATCTTCCAGATTATGGAGACCAGTAATTGTTTCCATATCTGATATTGGCGTGGAGCGCATTGCCCCTGTCATAATACGGAGAGCATGGTTTTGGATCTTTTAGACTTTCAGAAAATTTGATTTAGCTGCTGTGCCCCAAGCAGCTATTCAATATTCTAGTGTTGGCCTCACATAGCCTGTATAGGTCCTCTTAAGGACATTGAGGTTTGCCCCCCAGTCTGTTCCAGCTAACTTCCTCATCAGTTGTGTTCTCTTGAGTCCCTTGCTCTGTGTCTTTTCTATCTGTTTTCTCCATGTGAGTCTTGGGTCAAAGGTTACTCCTAAATATGACGGTGAGTCATCATGTATCAGTGCCTGGCTGCCATATCTAAGTGAAACTTTCTGGGGTTTGGTAGAGAGACTGAAAATGGTGTGTGTGGTTTTGGCCCCATTTACAGGCATGTACCAGCTATTGGACCACCTCTCTAGAGTTCCGAGCGATTCTTGAAGCCTTGTCTGTGCTTTTTCAGTGTCCTCCTCTGAACTCAGTAGCGCCAGATCATCGGCATACATAACGGCTTAAACTCCATTACAGAGGGTTGATTTTATGTCGTTAATGTAAACTAGGAAAAGAATTGGGGACAGAACTCCGCCTTGTGGAACTCCATGTTTCATTGAGACTGATCTGCTCCTTGAACCCTGTATCTTGACTCTTGCATATCGATTTTCAAGATATTTTACGATCCACCCAAGCATGTGATGGTATATTCCACTTTCAAGTAGCTTTTGTTTCAGCCCATTTTTCCACACTTTGTCGAAGGCCTTTTCCATATCCACCCAGACTGCAATAGTGTGCTTTTTTTCCTGGAATGCATCTTAATGTGTTGAGCAATAAATGTAATTTGGTCTTCTGTTGATCTACAACGTCGAAAACCTGCCTGTTTCTCCATTAGTTTGAAGTTTTTCTCTAGGAACCAGGTCAGTCGGTTGTTCAATAATCTTTCAAATAGTTTACACAGACAGCTAGTGAGGCTGATGGGTCTGTAGCTGTCTGCGTTGTTCTTCTGCTTTCCTTGTTTCAGGATTACGAAGATTTCAGACTTCCTCCAGGCTGGAGGAACTATACTAAAAATCCAGCTGGCATTAAAGATGTTTAATAATTTCTTTTTGGCACTTGGACCCATGTGTAGTAACATATCATTCGTGATTTTATCGGGGCCAGGGGCTTGGTTGGATTTCAGCTGGTTAAGTCCTGTGTTAAGTTCACTCATTGAGAATTTATCTGTCATGATGCTCTCTGCTTGTTTACTCTTGCTGGCCTCCTCGAGTTCTTCTTTGTACTACCTCATCTTCTCTGGACCTTTCTATATTAATATCACTAACAGATTTAAAAAGTGAGGTCATTTCAATTGTAATGCTATTTCAATGTTAATATATGCCAGTGAAAGTTGGAAAACCATTAAAGACAGGGAATGAAAGTGAAATGCATTTGAAAACAAATTGCTGAGGAAAATGATGAAAATAAGATGGGAGAATTCAAAAGGTGTGAAGAAATAAGCAAAATGTCTGGGCAGCTACTAGTATAACAGTCACAAGAAAGAGAAGATGGCGCTACAGTGGAAAATTTCCTGACAACAAACAAGTAGAGAATTACCAAACAGGTACTAAAATGGGAAATAGATGGACAGGAGGGAGGCAAGGATGTCCAAGAGAAACCCTGTAGTGAACAGTGACAAGAGAAGCCAAAGGTGCTGGAGAGGATTCCATCCATGACATTGAAGTACCAGCAAGGATACAATGGAAAGAAGGAATAAACTGCGAGCTCTATGTGACATTTAATGACACGACAGGAAGTGAATTAATGAAGTTTGGTATTATATTTAATTTCTCTTTGACATCTCCATCTCTGCTGGTCTACGGAAGATCCTCTTATCTTTTTTACTTCTATGCTAAAATTTTTGAGCTTACCTTCCACTGGGTTATTTCTGAATCACTCAATCCTAGCCAACTTTGAATCTCACTGAGTCTTTGCTCTACCTGGCATATCAAGGAAAGGCAAAAAGTAATTTAATACTGCTTTACATACATTTCCTACCAGAATGTTTTTTAATTCTGTATATGTTTTTTTCCATTATTTCCATTGTTATTTACTTATGTTTCCTACCCTTTTGGTCTATGTCTTCCTCTCAGTGCTGATATATTTTCTAGACCCTCACCCTTCCCACCCCTACTCCCTTTTCAGTCAATTATGGATACTACTTGGTCTGTTCTATCCACTTTATCACAAAGTGGCTTATCACCCAGAGAAGTTGCAGCAGCCAGTCTATCAGCCTGCCCATTACCCCGCACATCCGAATGTTCTGGACAGACAATCCATGCTGTGCTTCTCTTCTGAGTCTTGTCAAGAGTTGCAAGCCCTTCTGTGTGTAGACCAGTTTCTTTTGATATCGAAATTTCCTCTATGAGGAAACTTCTGTGTATGTTTTATGGGTTTTTTTTATTTACATTATTACTGATGTTTCTGACCCTCTTAGCTCGTGTTTTCCCCTTAGCCTTGAATATCTTCCAGACCCTCTGCTCTCCGCCCATTTTCTATGACGTGCTTCTATGTACATGTAGGCAAATACTATGTACAAATAGGCTAATACTATGTACATATAGGCAAATACTATGTACAAATAGGCTAATACTATGTACATATAGGCAAATACTATGTACATATAGGCAAATACTATGTACATATAGGCTAATACTATGTACATATAGGCTAATACTATTTACATGTAGGCTAATACTATGTACATATAGGCTAATACTATGTACATGTAGGCAAATACTATGTACATATAGGCTAATACTATGTACATGTAGGCAAATACTATGTACATGTAGGCAAATACTATGTACATATAGGCTAATACTATGTACATATAGGCTAATACTATGTACATATAGGCTAATACTATGTACATGTAGGCAAATACTATGTACATATAGGCTAATACTATGTACATATAGGCTAATACTATTTACATGTAGGCTAATACTATGTACATATAGGCAAATACTATGTACATGTAGGCTAATACTATGTACATATAGGCTAATACTATGTACATATAGGCTAATACTATGTACATATAGGCTAATACTATGTACATATAAGCTAATACTATGTACATATAGGCTAATACTATGTACATGTAGGCAAATACTATGTACATGTAGGCAAATACTATGTACATATAGGCTAATACTATGTACATATAGGCTAATACTATGTACATATAGGCTAATACTATGTACATGTAGGCAAATACTATGTACATATAGGCTAATACTATGTACATGTAGGCAAATACTATGTACATGTAGGCAAATACTATGTACATATAGGCTAATACTATGTACATATAGGCTAATACTATGTACATATAGGCTAATACTATGTACATATAGGCTAATACTATGTACATATAGGCTAATACTATGTACATGTAAGCAAATACTATGTAAATATAGGTTAATACTATGTAAATATAGGTTAATACTATGTACATGTAGGCTAATACTATGTACATATAGGTTAATACTATGTACATATAGGCTAATACTATGTACATATAGGCTAATACTATGTACATATAGGCTAATACTATGTACATATAGGCTAATACTATGTACATATAGGCTAATACAAGAAGGGACCAGGCCACCATCTTCAGACTTAGAACACAACACACTCCACTCAGTGGACACCTAAACAGAATACAGCCACAACACTCCCCAGAGTGACAGCTATGTAACTACCCCTACGAAACTGTTGAACACCATTTCTTAGAATGACCAAAACTCAGCGAGACTAGAAGAATGCTACTTCCTCCAAAACCAGACAAGTGGAACACCTTGTACGGAGGAAAAGAACAGCTTGTGAAAACATGCAAATTCCACAACATAGCATTGGGCCAAAGGGCGAAAGCTCATGCGCCGCTGAATCGATAACCACAACAACAACATATCATGGATGGAATCCAATCCAGTAGTTTTAACCTCTCTCATCAAAGTTCATCTTAGGGTTTCTTTTGGGGGTGTCATCCTTGATCCCCTTTTTCCCCATTCCCATCTTCTCTGCCTTATAACTGTTGATACTAATGGTTGCTCAGACTTTCTCTCATTTCTTCACCTCTTTTGAATTCATCCCATTTTGTGCACATAATTTTCCTCAGACATTTCTTTTCAAATGCATTTGTCTTTCAATATTTTATCCTGCAAGTTTCTGTAGCCAATAACTGTGTACAGGCTGGGGGAGCTGGCCACATGCAGAACATTCTTCCTCTCTCATCCAGGCTTGGACTGGCAATAAAAAATTTTAAAAAGTAAAGGACCCTTTTCCGTGCCGTTAGGCGTATAGGGCATATAGGGCTAGACCTATATGTTATAGACCAATCGGCACAAGTTGGGTGATGTGGTCAGCATCATGCCGGCTGCCTCCACTTCCCAGGACTGGACCCGGTACCTACTCAAGGCTGGGTCGACCTGGGACTGGACCCGGTACCCACTCAAGGCTGGGTCAACCTGGGACTGGACCCGGTACCCACTCAAGGCTGGGTCGACCTGGGACTGGACCCGGTACCCACTCAAGGCTGGGTCGACCTGGGACTGGACCCGGTACCCACTCAAGGCTGGGTATACCTGGGACTGGACCTGGTACCCACTCAAGGCTGGGTCGACCTGGGACTGGACCCGGTACCCACTCAAGGCTGGGTCGACCTGGGACTGGACCCGGTACCCACTCAAGGCTGGGTCGACCTGGGACTGGACCCGGTACCCACTCAAGGCTGGGTCAACCTGGGACTGGACCCGGTACCCACTCAAGGCTGGGTCGACCTGGGACTGGACCCGGTACCCACTCAAGGCTGGGTCGACCTGGGGACTGGCAATAAAAAGTAAAAAAAGTAATGTTCCTTTTTCACGCCTTTCGGCGCATCGGGCATATGGGCAGAGCGTCCCATATTTTTACAGACCATCAGCACTCTGTGGGTAATGTGGTCAGCATTACACTGGCTGTCTTTACTTTCCCAGGACGGCCCATCCTGGTACCCATTTTAGGCTGGGTCGACCTGCGACGTCCCATACCATGACAAAAATCCACGCAGCCTGCAGTGGGTTTCGATCGCGGTATGCTGGCTTACGAGTCGGACTCGCAACGCCTTAGCCACAGACGCCGCTAGGGGACTGGCAATAGTCTGCACTAAATAGCTAAATTATTCCCCAGAGCCCATGGGCTTAAACTCATGAACAAAAATAAATGGCTTTGAATAACAATAATGATGTTGATGTAACTAACAACAGCTCCTGCACAGTTGGGTTTCTTACAACAGAGACAGTATGTGGCTTGAAAACCAAGATGGCATTGAAGCTTGCACAAGGTCCAGTCTACAAAGGGCAGTGTGCTTTAAATTGGCAGTTATGAATGCACGTTAAATCCTCAATGAAATACTATTCCAATGCACACACACACAAAATTCATCATCATCATCATGTCCTAGCAGGTACTCACATTGCATCTGAGATATTTAAGTATTTGTCTTCTTCTTCTTTGTTCACCGGCTGTAAGCTCTGGCAGAAAGTCCTGGCTGTTCATCCATTTTTACTCTGGCTTTGTGGAGTTTTCCATGTATCTCCATTTTACTGGCTTATCTGTGTGCAGCTGGTTTTTCCTTGCCACTCGGGCAGATGCACTCTGACTTCGAAGGAAGCTTTGAATTAGTCAACTCTTACAACATGCTTTTTTTTAATCTATTCTTGTTTTCCCCACAATGAGGCCTCGAAACCCAAGTATTCATTCTTCTGTCACTTGTCTCAGCCCATTTGCTCTGATACTACATGTGACATTTGCTGGTACCTAGAGGCTGTTAGACAGGGGCACAGCTGCAAGGTCTGTAGGCCTGACCATTACTGCAGGATTATTAGAAAGGTGCACAGCTGCAAGGTCTGTAGGCCTGACCATTACTGCAGGATTATTAGACAGGGGCACAGCTGCAAGGTCTGTAGGCCTCACCATTACTGCAGGATTATTAGACAGGGGCACAGCTGCAAGGTCTGTAGGCCTGACCATTACTGCAGGATTGTTAGACAGGGGCACAGCTGCAAGGTCTGTAGGCCTGACCATCACTGCAGGATTATTAGACAGGGGCACAGCTGCAAGGTCTGTAGGCCTCACCATTACTGCAGGATTGTTAGACAGGGGCACAGCTGCAAAGTCTGTAGGCCTCACCATTATTGCAGGATTGTTAGACAGGGGCACAGCTGCAAGGTCTGTAGGCCTGACCATTACTGCAGGATTGTTAGACAGGGGCACAGCTGCAAGGTCTGTAGGCCTCACCATTACTGCAGGATTATTAGACAGGGGCACAGCTGCAAGGTCTGTAGGCCTGACTATTACTGCAGGATTATTAGACAGGGGCACAGCTGCAAGGTCTGTAGGCCTGACCATTACTGCAGGATTATTAGACAGGGGCACAGCTGCAAGGTCTGTAGGCCTGACCATCACTGCAGGATTATTAGACAGGGGCACAGTTGCAAGGTCTGTAGGCCTCACCATTACTGCAGGATTGTTAGACAGAAGAGTACACTGAGAATTTTAACAAGATAAATATCTACTCCATGGCAGTGGGAAGGGGGGGGGGGGCATATATGATCACAGCATATACTACTGGTTACATTAACAATCATGTGTTTCTGCTTTTCATCATTTTTATGTTTGTTTGTTTTAGTATCCAGAAGCCATGAGTTGTTAACCCTTAGGCTCGGTATTATGGACATTGCAACCCTTATGCCTTGATTCCATGATAGATACCGTAAATCTGGGAGAAATATGGCTTTTCTGCCTACCCCCGGGGGTGAACCCGGACCACAAGGAGTTCGTCACCCGGTCACCGCGCAGTCCGGTTTGGCCAACTACGTTAGAGAGCCGGGCTATCATCCTTATAGACTAGGGCCTTACCAAGGACCAGCTGGCTTGGGTGACACAAGAGGTTTAGCAAAGTAGAATCCTTATTTCATAAACTGAAAAAGAACGAAAAAAGAAGAAGAAGAAGAAGAAGATAAACAAAACTATTTTATGATACAGATTCCAAGTGTTCTCACTTGTGGCGATATACTTTATTATCTGAAAGCAAATAGCATGTACATATGATGCTATTAATACATGTTAATTAACCATGTGCTTTTTCTTCTTCTGTCCTTTATCCTACGTGGAATATAGGCCTTCAATCAACTCACTGCAAGTTACCTGATCCCTGGTTAACACACGCAGCTCACCCCTCGTCTCCCCATCTTTTCACTTCATCCTCTAGTTTCCTTCTTCACATATATGTTGGTCTACCTTTTCTCCTGTCCTGGTGTGATTCAGTGCAAAGACACCAGTTACATTATTATCAGATTTTCTCTATGTGTGTGTCCCTATCTAATGCCACCATCTTTTCCTCACCTCTTGATTCACTGGCATTTGTTTAGGTCTCTACAAAGTTCTACATTTATACTTCTATCATATTATTTAATTCTGTCTATTGTGTACAAGAATCGGTTAACAAATGCTTACTTTTATTCATAATTGAATGGAGGCATTAAGACTTAGATGGCTACACGAAAAGCAGCTGCTGGGAGACTCTTCCAGGCCATAAACCGAGGGTTTCTTAGCAAAAGAGAAATTGGCAAGAGGACGAAAATGGCTGTTTACCGCTCTACCTATGTACCAGTCCTGACCTAAGGGTGTGAGTCATGGGCAATGACAACAGCTCACACAGCCAGCTTCAGGCCTCAGAAATGAGATATCTGAGAAAGGTGGTCCAAGTGACAAGAAGGGGCAAAGTCTGCAATCAGACAATACGTCAAGATCTTGATATCCAGTCCTTACAAACCCGAGTGGATAAATCACAGTTATGATGGTTTGAACATGTATGTAGAATGGGAGAAAATCGGCAACCATGGCAGGTATGGGAGGCTAAGAACCAGGGAACCAGACGACCCAGGGTGCGCTGGGAAGACAACATCTGACAGTCCCTAACTGAAAGAGGACTGGAATGGAACAAAGCCAGAAAAAAACTGCTGATAGAGACGTCTGGTGATCTCTCTGGCAAACCTCTACACCCCAAGGTAGAAGAGGAGCGACTAAGTAAGTAAGTAAGTCATAATTGTTTTAGATGTTCTCCGTGTGTCCGTTCTCTTTGGCCTTACTGATCTGACATCAGAGCTAAATACTGTAAGCTCGTTTCAAAATTGCTTGTTTTTAATTTCCTTTGACTTCTGCACATTTCCTAGTGCCAAAAAACTCCTGTCGCCTTTTGCACTTGTATAACTCTGTCAGATCAACCATCTAAGCAAGTATTTATAGCAGTTTGTAATTTTCAAGATACCCAGTCTGATTCCTGCTGCTAGTGATCTGACAGCAGACCACCTTGCATTGATTTTGACAACGGTATCAAGTGTGGACTATTCAGACAGCAGAGAGCCACGCTGAAGAAATATAATGAACACAGAGCAAGGGAACGACACGCAAGAGATGGAGCGACATCATCAAAAGCAACCTAACAGAAATTAACACCAACTTGTACAATGCATTGGAAAAAGCGCACAAACGATCTTTACATCTCCCCCCAAACACCTCGCTGAGGTAAATGGTGGAAGAGATGAAGAAGAAGAAGTTTGCCACTGCTATCCGAACAGTCAGCTCTTGGTACCCCTATTGAAGTCAATGCAAGACAAATCATCCACAGCTGGGATCTAACCCTGCACCCCGGCATTACAAAGCGCGTTCGCCCAAGCCACAGATGCCGACTTATGACAGGCTGCTTAATGTCAAATTGACTAGTAAAATCACAAACAACAACAAACAAACAAAATGCTAGAATCTGGTTCTCCAAAGTCCTGGAAAGGATATGTAACTAAATATTTCTTTTTCTATTTTTATTTTTTATTATTAATTTTTTTTTTTTTTTTTTAATATTTCATGCTAAATCTTTAAGTGTATACCTACTTGTCTGACTGATTTAGTTATGGAGAACACACATTTCTGTTTAATCATTCCTGAGGCTGAAGCTCTTGCTTTTTCTCTGATGGCTCTACAAATTATGTACCTGACAGACAAACAAACAAAATAACTGAATGCAGGCAACATTTACTTTTTTTTTTTTAAGCCAATTAATTATATTTTTAAAGAAAAATTATGTTTCTAAACATTACTAAAAGGAATTATTGATACTTATCTATGATGGAAAGTCAATAAGTAATTTTTTAATTTATGGAAGGTGAAATCAACACAGGACTGGTGTCGTCAGCCGCTACACACAGTGGGATTTACTAAGGAGGGGATCCGAGCACTTAATAGTTTGATGTGTAATGAGGATAATCTGCTGACTAACTAACTAGTAGCTGACTACAGAATAATTCAAAAACATGACATGTGAAGGAAGTGTAAACAGAAAGAACAAGCTGTTGTACAAATTTCTGTGAGCTTAAAGAACCCTACACAAGATATTCATGAGGAAATATTACCTATTTATAGTTTGAAGTGCTTACAAGGACAAGCACTGTATAACAATGTTGATAACTGATCTGAAGAACCAATCATGGAGCCTGAAATAGTCGTTGCGATGAGGCTGCCAGAAAAATGTTGCATTATGTGAAGAAAATCATCTGAGCTGATAGGGTAATAACGAAAGGATAGTGGAGACAGCATCCAAGACAAAGTGGTGAAACCATCTGCTTCATGCTCTGATTGTTGTTGGTTAAGGTTCAGACGCCATGGTTAGGTTCATAAGTGCAGCTATGTTAGAGTTGCAGCAGCTACAGAGTTGATGCTTTGTGTGAGACTTTCAGTAGGAAACAAGCTTCACTATGGAGAGAGACTGGGCCATATGAGACAAAAGCTGGTACAACATTGTCAGTGTCAGTGGTTTAGGCATTGCAAACACGCTTTGTAATGCTGGGGTGCCAGGTTTAATCCCAGCTGGAGGAGGGTTTAGGAGCAAAACATCTTGCATTGATTTCAACAGTGGTATCGACAGTCTACCATTCAGAAACCAATGCCAAACTAGTAACGTAAAATAAATGCTGGGGTTGGTTCTGTTGTTTTTAGTTAAGTAACAGCAATCAGATGTTCTTCTGGCTTCGCCTACCCTCCAAAAATGACCATAAGGATATCTGAAAAGTATGTTAAGTTTATTTATTGAAAGAGTCATAAAGGTCATAAAGGTCAGAAAGTCAACAATTCTCCCACATTAAATGTCAAGAAACACTGAAACATTCAGTAACAATTGAACAGATTCATAAAGAAAGAGACCGAGGAAGAAAATGAAAGAATGTTCTTCATGGTTTTTCAAACAAATAATATCAGCACATTACAATTTATTTAGCTGGAAATCATGAGATCAAATATCACATCACAGACCATTAGATTGATTTAATTCAAGAACCGACATCACAGCACTCGGGACATTCCCACAAGCGCTCCGTCCCCATCTTCAGCAGCCAGCAAAGCATTCCGATACTAATGGTGCCAATAGCATTCTGATTAAACGTCTGTCTTGCCTTTCCTTTTAGCCTCGAGCATCTGCCAGAACCTCTCGTCACTCCCCCCTGCATCAATCTCACCAGACTGTGGTGATCCATCTGCTCCTCCGAACTGTACACGCTCTCCCACAAGGCCCTAAACACCTCTGCCTCATTATGTATCAGTATTCCACCAAGTTGTGCAGAGCCAGCCAGACCATTAGAGAGTTGCCGCACCAAATGACAGAAAGAGACACTTTACTTTCAGCTGGGCAGTGAAGAAAATAACATTCTGTAAAGAACTTGCTGACCGACTGATAATGATCTCCAATGTCTGCTCTATACTGGAGGAAGAAAATAAATTGTTTTTTTTTTTCATCACAGAAGCGTATGATTTATGTTTTTGCAATTAAACAGTTCTCAAACAGAACAAAATAAAAATACTTTATAAATTGCATTTGAAATTAAATTTAAAAACTGACCACACTGTTTTCTTTTTTAGCAGTCCAATGACATGATTCCCACTATCGAGGAAATAGAGAACTTCCCCTTCAAACTGATAGCCTTGTCTAATCTGCCAGAAAATAATTTGGAGTCAAGTAAATATTTTATTTAAAATATTATAAATGAAAGAAGAAAGAAACAGACAGAAAAAGGTGAACAAAACAGACTTCAAACAGACATCATGGCATGCAAAAAAATCAGCATATAAACTAATTAATATCAAAGCAATTAAAAATGATTATGGAAAAATTTTTGTCAGCAAGACGCCTGAAGTAGAAATACAAGAATTAATCAAGGAACACACTGCACACAACTATAATCTCTTACAGAAAATTATTATAAATGTCAGTTGAACCAATAAAAAAAAAGATCAATGCCAGAGTGAACAAATGTTTTACCTGTTTCATTTTATCCAATACCTGAGAAGGTTTCAGCAACTCATATCCTACAGTTGTCAGGCCGAGAGTTCTTGCAATCTGGGAATACAATATTATAACGTTTGAACAATGATACATTATATACCATGAACTGAACAATTAAAACTTCATGAACTGAAGAATGAAACATTATACAACATGAACTGAATAATAAAACATTATACACCATGAACTGAAGAATAAAACATTATACACTGTAAAATGAAAAATAAAACATTATACAACATGAACTGAAGAATGAAACATTATACACCATGAACTGAAGAATTAAACATTATACACCATGAACTGAAGAATTAAACATTATACACCATGAACTGAAAAATGAAACATTATACACCATGAACTGAAGAATTAAACATTATACACCGTGAACTGAAAAATGAAACATTATACACCATGAACTGAAGAATAAAACATTATACACTGTGAACTGAAGAATGAAACATTATACACCATGAACTGAAGAATGAAACATTATACACCATGAACTGAAGAATGAAACATTATACAAAGTGAACTGAAGAATGAAACATTATACACTGTGAACTGAAGAATGGAACATTATACAAAGTGAACTGAAGAATGAAACATTATACACCATGAACTGAAGAATAAAACATTATACACTGTGAACTGAAGAATGAAACATTATACACCATGAACTGAAGAATAAAACATTATACACCATGAACTGAAGAATAAAACATTATACACCGTGAACTGAAGAATAAAACATTATACACTGTGAACTGAAGAATGAAACATTATATGCCGTGAACTGAAAAATGAAACATTATACACCATGAACTGAAGATTAAAACATTATACACTGTGAACTGAAGAATGAAACATTATACACCATGAACTGAAGAATAAAACATTATACACCATGAACTGAAGAATAAAACATTATAAACTGTGAACTGAAAAATAAAACATTATAAACTGTGAACTGAAGAATAAAACATTATATGCCGTGAACTGAAAAATAAAACATTATACACCATGAACTGAAGATTAAAACATTATACACTGTGAACTGAAGAATGAAACATTATACACCATGAACTGAAGAATAAAACATTATACACCATGAACTGAAGAATAAAACATTATAAACTGTGAACTGAAAAATAAAACATTATAAACTGTGAACTGAAGAATAAAACATTATATGCCGTGAACTGAAAAATGAAACATTATACACCATGAACTGAAGATTAAAACATTATACACTGTGAACTGAAGAATGAAACATTATATGTACAACATAAACTGAAGAATGAGACATTATATATACAATGTGAACTGAAGAATGAAACATTATATATACAACGTGAACTGAAGAATGAAATATTATATGCCGTGAACTGAAGAATAAAACATTATTCACTGTTAGTCAGTCATTACAGTTCCAGCATCACAGCAAATGAGCTTGGCCCATAATTGCACAACCGCCTATGCCAGTGACTCTAGCCACAAACTGAGTCAGATACTCTGGATACTTCAAGTGAATGCCGTAGCCATACAAAGTGTCCCCAGCAAAAAACACACAATTTGATCTGGCAAACCATGATGTGCATGCCTTCTTAAACACACTGATCAGGTGTCATCGCTAAAAATTAACTTCATTCGACGAATAGCTGGGCGATGAGTAGATTAAAACTATTCCTGACCATTCTCCACATGTCCTCGGCCAAGTTGCAGCCACGGCCAGCAAATAAATAGCTCATGCCTTGTCCCAGGAACACAACGAAGAAAAATATATAACTCATCATTGCCATTATGTACGAATCTGGAACTCAGTCAATAACCAATAATTACAGCTCATAGTGCCGCTAGGAGCACTAAACTCAGTAGATTCGGCTGCAAACCTGACTTCCACAATCTTGCAACATCGAAACTGGAGGAGAAACAGCGACGAGAACGGTCAATATAGGACAAGTTCTCAACCGCCATCCATTCCCTATCAATGTCAGAACTGTGAACTGAAGATTGTATAATATATACACTGTGCACTGAAGAATGAAACATTATGAATTAGGGAACAAAATTTGGCCTGATTCACATTGATAAGATGCTCAGCACTTGATAGTGGCAGAGTGAAGTTGCTTCATATGACCTCAGTAAAGCAGCACATCTCAGTAAATAATTCAATATATTCATTTAAGCTTCAGATGTTCTTAGGAAAAATTATAAATGTCCTCAGTAAAGTTTCAGACTTCTTTCAAAAGGTTACAGATGCCCTCAGTTAAAGTGATAGATGTTCTCTGTAGAGTTATAAATGTCCTCAGTAGAGTTATAAATGTCCTCAGTAGAGTTATAAATGCCCTCAGTAGAGTTATAAATGTCTTCAGTAGAGTTATAAATGTCCTCAGTAGAGTTATAAATGTCCTCAGTAAAGTTATAAATGTCCTCAGTAAAGTTATAAATGTCCTCAGTAGAGTTATAAATGTCCTCAGTAGAGTTATAAATGTCCTCAGTAGAGTTTTAAATGTCCTCAGTAAAGTTATAAATGTCCTCAGTAGTTATAAATGTCCTCAGTAAAGTTATAAATGTCTTCAGTAGAGTTTTAGATGCCTCAGTAGAGTTTTAGATGCCTCAGTAGAGTTTTAGATGTCCTCAGTAGTTATAAATGTCCTCAAAAGTTATAAATGTCCTCAGTAGTTATAAATTTCCTCAGTAGTTATAAATGTCCTCGGAAAAGTTATAGATGTCCTCAGTAGAGGTAAAGATGTCCTCAGTAGAGGTAAAGATGTCCTCAGTAGAGGTATAGATGTCCTCAGTAGAGGTATAGATGTCCTCAGTAGAGGTATAGATGTCCTCAGTAGAGGTATAGATGTCCTCAGTAGAGGTAAAGATGTCCTCAGTAGAGGTAAAGATGTCCTCAGTAGAGGTAAAGATGTCCTCAGTAGATGTATAGATGTTCTCAGTAGAGGTAAAGATGTCCTCAGTAGAGGTAAAGATGTCCTCAGTAGAGGTAAAGATGTCCTCAGTAGAGGTAAAGATGTCCTCAGTAGAGGTATAGATGTCCTCAGTAGAGGTAAAGATGTCCTCAGTAGAGGTATAGATGTCCTCAGTAGATGTATAGATGTCCTCAGTAGATGTATAGATGTCCTCAGTAGATGTATAAATGTCCTCAGTAGATGTATAGATGTCCTCAGTAGATGTATAGATGTCCTCAGTAGATGTATAGATGTCCTCAGTAGATGTATAGATGTCCTCAGTAGATGTATAGATGTCCTCAGTAGAGGTAAAGATGTCCTCAGTAGATGTATAGTCCTCAGTAGAGGTAAAGATGTCCTCAGTAGATGTATAGATGTCCTCAGTAGAGGTATAGATATCCTCAGTAGAGGTAAAGATGTCCTCAGTAGAGGTATAGATGTCCTCAGTAGAGGTATAGATGTCCTCAGTAGAGGTAAAGATGTCCTCAGTAGAGGTATATATGTCCCCAGTAAAGTTTTAGATGTAAGCAGAGGCATAGATGTCATCAGTAGTTATAGATGTCCTCAGTATAGATGTCCTCAGTAGTTATAGATGTCCTCAGTAGTTATAGATGTCCTCAGTAGTTATAGATGTCCTCAGTATAGATGTCCTCAGTAGTTATAGATGTCCTCAGTAGATGTATAGATGTCCTCCTCCTTTTATATTGCGTTTGGTGGTCTGGCCAGACAAAGTCATAATTTCTGTAACAGCACCCACTACATGTTTCTGAATATGACAAAATAACAATTTTTGATTATACTCTCATAGTTGTTCTTGTTCCAAATATACTATCGGCTTATACTCAAAACATTTTCTGACACCCCCGCTTTTCCCTCGCCATAGGTGCCAAATATCCTAGGTTCGACTCTGAGGGAAGGTGCAAAAAAATACTGTGACACTCACACAAAATAAAGCATTGCAGTTACAATCTATTTTAGTGAGGAAAAACACAAAAAAAATATTAGGTGGTCATTCTCAATAAGTATAAGATAATGTATATATCTCTATAAGTATAGACAATGTATATATCTCAATAAGTATTAGACAATGTATATAAAACATTTAGTGGTACTTGTGCAACTCTCCATGCATGTAAGACTTAATGTAATACATCAATTTAAAAAACAAAAATCAATTTAAAGCATAAATCTTAAAATAAACCTAACTAAGAATACCATGTGTTAAGTCATGAGCTACCTCTATTCCTATATGTGGTGGGAATGCACATAAATGATGCTCTGGCTTAGGTTCCAAATCTGTTGTCGTCCACACAATGAACTGTAATATGGGCCTGAAGACATCAGTCAGAGTTATATCAGAGCAGTGCTTCAGTGACTTAGGTGATCCACATGTTTACATTCAAATAAGGTTCTGATGATATCAATACATATAATAAATTGAAAACTCCAGGGATTGTACAGTAACTTCAGTCACAGGCAGGGAGGAAAGATAAGGTTGTGATGTGAATAAAGGGCTACTGTATATCACATTGAGCAGTAGAACACTCTGTGCTGGTTTTATGGAATCCTATATAAGACAGGGAGCCGTGGTTGTGTAGTGGCTATCTGCTGACCTCTCCGCTCGAAGGTCCAGTGTTCAAGTTTGCATTGAGATTGAATTTGTTTTTACAAGTGACTCTGGCTTCCAGACACCAAGCATAACAATGGGCACCAGGTAAAGTCTTGGGAAGTAAATGTGGCTGGCATGATGTTGATGATCAAGTATGGATAGGTCTATAACAATATGTCAATCATCATATGCCCGATATGGCACTTGGTCAAGAAACGGTCCTTGACTTTACACAATGTAAGACATCTAGAATCTCCAGCAGTGCAGTGACTAGCAAGCTGGCATTCTGGCTTGGTGAGCAGCCTCGGTGTCTTTGTGTCAGCTGGTCTATATAAATGTGGGACTAGTACCAGCTATATAATATATACTCCAGGAATGGACATGAGTCCTTTGCTGCACAATGTCTGCCAACTGTCACAGATCCTAATCAGACCATCTTTCTTGTGTCCATGTTCTGCTTTGTGCCACAAGGCATCGCAGGTCAGTAGCTGAGTTAGAGCATGCTCGGTTGCCCAGAATGATGTGATATTGTGGAGTCTCAAGATTTCAGTGACTCCTTCAATCCATCCTCTTCTTGGTTGCCATCTATTTCTTTGTGTTTCTACTTTCCTGTTGTAAGTTCTCACTGCTGGCCTCCTTGGATTCATTCTCATTAAATGGCAGACTATTTCATCTCTTTTAATTAATTTAGTTATAGGTGTTGTTCCAATAGTTGTTGAAATTTTTGTGCTTCTCACCTTATAGTTTTGTTTATGGCCATTCTCAAACATCTCATTCCAAAGTGGTCTGTTTTCTTCTATGTTCCTTAGGCTAAATCTTATAGCAAAAGGTTGATATGAAGATTGCATTTTTTTTTCTATATGGATTTCCGCATGTTTCAAAATTGTGGTCAGTTGATAGGCGACATTACTGTTTATTGAACTCTCATTTCAATTTCTGTCTATTCTGCCAACATATGTAAAGATGCTTCTTATGTATTTAAGTGTTTAACTTGTTAACTACACAGTTTACCCTGAAAATGTGGGCTTTAATAACCTGAAATAAACTGACAGAAGATCTCAGTGATAGTAAACCTCAGAGCTGCAGGGACCAGAAATAAGAAGTATGAAAGCTTTTGGTACTCACCTTTCTACCTCCATACCACAGGTCAATGATGGCCAATGAAAGCATGCTACACATAACACAGGTCAATGATGGCCAATGAAAGCATGCTACACATAACACAGGTCAATGATGACCAATGAAAGCATACTACACATACCACAGGTCAATGATGGCCAATGAAAGCATGCTACACATAACACAGATCAATGATGACCAATGAAAGCATGCTACACATAACACAGGTCAATGATGGCCAATGAAAGCATGCTACACATAACACAGGTCAATGATGACCAATGAAAGCATGCTACACATAACACAGGTCAATGATGACCAATAAAAGCATGCTACACATAACACAGGTCAATGATGGCCAATGAAAGCATGCTACACATAACACAGGTCAATGATGGCCAATGAAAGCATACTACACATAACACAGGTCAATGATGGCCAATGAAAGTATGCTACACATAACATGAAAGATGGAGGGAATACTTCAATGAGCTCTTTAATCCTCTAGGAGATCATCAGGAAAGAACAACTGAAGAGCACAGTGTTAGAACCACACATGCTAATGGATGAAATAGAAAAAGTCATTAAACAGGCTCCCAAATATAAAGCACCAGGAGCTGATAGATTACCAACAGAAATAATTCAAACAGCAGGTGAAAGCAGCATCAGATGGGTTCACAGAATATTCAATGCAGCATGGGTACAACAAACGGCCCCTATTGATTGGCAACATGCAATAGTTATACCATTGTGGAAGAACAAAGGAAGCAAACGAGAATGCGGTCAATATCAAGGCATCTATCTCTCTTTTAAGCCATGTTGGCAAAATGTATGCCAAGATAACAGAAACAAGACTGAGACCAGTGATACAACCACAGCTGGCAAAAGAACAGATGGGATTTAGGAGAAATAGAAGCTGCACAGATGCAATCTTCACACTTAAACAGTTAATAGAAAAGAACATTAAATACAATAAGAACTTATTTGTGGCATTCGTAGACCAGGAGAAGGCATTTGACAGAGTCGACAGACAATTATTATGGAAAATAATGGCAAGATATGGAGTAAGCGAACACCTCATCAAAGTGTGCAAAAGTTTATACAGGGATTGTAGAAGTGTAGTTAGAATAAATCAGGGAACATCTCATCCATTCACAGTAACATCTGGAGTAAGACAGGGGTGTGTCTTATCACCACTGCTGTTTATCACCTACATCGACAGTATATGCAAGAATGCCAAGCCCATGAATGAAGATCTTAGTAAGATCAACAAATTACTCTTTGCAGATGACCAGGCCTTGATAGCAGATACAGCCATGAAATTGCAACAACATCTAACATCCATAAAGGAAGAATGTAAAACAAATAATATGAGAATCAAAACTGAAAAGACACAAGTAATGTCAATAGGAAAAAAGAAGACAGAGCTAAACATAGCAATAGAATACAAAGGCATTAAACAGGCATCTGAGTTTAAATATCTGGGAACTACATTTACCGAAGATGGGAAATTGGATAAAGAAATTGACATTAGATGCAGTAAAGCAAACCAAGTATTGGGACAGCTAGCCCCCCTCTTACAGCATAAGACAATCCCAATCAGCACAAAGAGACATCTTATTCAAAGCATATTTATTCCAACTCTGTGCTACCAGTGCCAGACATGGTCACTCACAACAAACCATAAAAGAAAATTTGTAACCACGGAAATGAGATGTCTGAGAAGGGCTGTAGGAGTGACCATAAGAGATAAGATCAGGAATGAGATCATAAGAGAACAAGTCGGCACAGAACCAATTCTGGATTACATACAAAGACAGCAAGTGAAATGGTTTGCCCACTTAGAGAGAATGCCTTGTGACACCATACCATACAAAGCATACATGGAAAGAGAAGAAGGACATAGAGCACGGGGTAGACCAAGAACAAGATGGAAGGATAACATCAGAGAAACTCTACAACAGCACGATGTGCCTATAGGCGAGGCAGCCAGAAGAGCTAGAAACAGAACCTTATATCTGCCTCGACACCCACAGCGGTAAAAGATGAAGTGAAGAAGAAGAAGAAGAAGACACATAACACAGTTCAATGATGGCCAATGAAAGCATGCTACACATAACACAGGTCAATGATGGCCAATGAAAGCATGCTAAACATAACACAGGTCAATGATGGCCAATAAAAACATGCTACACATAACACAGGTCAATGATGGCCAATGAAAGCATGCTACACATAACACAGATCAATGATGGCCAATGAAAACATGCTACACATAACACAGGTCAATGATGGCCAATGAAAGCATGCTACACATAACACAGATCAATGATGGCCAATGAAAGCATGCTACACATAACACAGAAATATCAACTCCTGGACAACCATTAATGCCCTCAACATGGCATAAGAAATAGATTTAAAGGGATAATCAGTAATCACAGAGAAGAAAGGAAAAAAGCTGAGATTAAAGGATACATTAAACAACACAAAATCTCAGATATTAAGAATCACCCTTATGCCCTCTGATGAGTGTCAAGGCATAGAATCAGGTTTTAAACACAGTTCTTCTCTCTTTATAAGAGTGTCATAAATTACTATGTAGGTTTTTTTTTGAAACCATTCATGAAGAATCAGGCCCTTGAACACAGTTCTTCTCTGACAACCACAGAGTGTCATACGGTTATAGAATCAGGCCCTTGAACACAGTTCTTCTCTGACAACCACAGAGTGTCATACGGTTATAGAATCAGGCCCTTAAACACAGTTCTTCTCTGACAACCACAGAGTGTCATACGGTTATAGAATCAGGCCCTTAAACACAGTTCTTCTCTGACAACCACAGAGTGTCATACGGTTATAGAATCAGGCCCTTAAACACAGTTCTTCTCCAACAACCACAGAGTGTCATACGTTTATAGAATCAGGCCCTTAAAACACTTCTCTGACAACCACAGTTCTTCTAGAATCAGGCCTTTAAACACAGTTCTTCTCCTCGGTTATAGAATCAGGCCCTTGAACACAGTTCTTCTCTGACAACCACCGAGTGTCATACGGTTATAGAATCAGGCCCTTGAGCACAGTTCTTCTCTGACAACCACAGAGTGTCAAACGGTTATAGAATCAGGCCCTTAGTGAATATAAAGATCCAATCCTTAATCCAAAGTGTTATATTTTAATTACTGGTGATGATTTCTTCAGTTCAATCACACCTGCGTCCTAGTGTCAGATGCACAACCTATGGGGTTTCTGGGACCTGTCCCCGAGTAATCCCCACCGAATGGTTGCACTTTGTGTCACTGGGTGTTTATCGCTCAGTGTGATGTCCTGGTGGGGGTTGAGTTGAGTTAGGTCAAGAATTGACATCACAGCACTCAGGGCATTCTCATGTGTGCTCCATCCTCAACTTCAGCAGCCAGCGCAGAGTTCCAATACTGATGGTACCGATCACAATCTGGTTATATGTCCATCTTGCCTTTCCTCTGAGTGTAGTGAGCCGCCCAGACACTCTGGTTACACCCAGGTGCAGTTGAACTTCATCATCTTCTTCAGCTCATGTCCTTGTTGCAGACTAAATTTCAAAAGTGACTGTTGACTTTAAACTGATAGTGGGTAACAGACAAAAGCCACAAAAGAGGGGGAACAATCCTATAAGTTATGGACTTACTTTTTTAAAAAGGACAAATCCTCCACATGCTGATGCAAGGGAGATAATATTTCAAACACAGCCGTCAGTCGAGTCACAGTTAGAAAGTGTAGCAGCCTAGATGGATTAGAAAAAAAAAAAAAAATTTTAGAATACCATTTTAACTAATTTTAAACAAGTTATGGGAGATACTGGTAGAGATATTTATAGACCTTCTAACAAAAAGGGACCAGGCCACCATCTTCAGACTCAGAACACAACATACTCCACCCAATGGACATCTAAACAGAATACAGCCACAACACTCCCCAGAGTGGCGGCTATGTAACTACCCCTATGAAACTGTTGGACACGATCTCTTCTTCCTCAGTATTCTGATGTTAACTGTTGCAGCTATCCACATGCATATTATCTCTGTGATCAGCCTTCTCTTTCCAGTTGGTGACTCCGACTGTTTCTAGGTCTGCCTGTATATTATCTCCCCATGTCTTTTCGGTCTGCTACATGATTTACTCCCTTTCCACTTTTTTGTGTAAGTAGTATTTTCGTCTCTTTATCATGGGTGCCTGGTAAAGTCCTGGGAAGTAAAGGTGGCCACCATTTAGAATGGATGAACAACTAGAACTTTCCATATCAGTTTACAATCCGTGAACATGAAGAAGACGACTTCCTAACCAAGGCAGTCCAAAGATTGCAACCCCTCTTTCACAATATTTGTCTAAAGATGATGAAGAAACGCATACAGTTTCATGTACAGTTGTTTCATCCTTCCATAGCATTGTGGTTGCCTAGATTAGTCAGACTGAATTGTCAGTAAGTACACTAAACTAAAGCTGTTGATGAATAGAGAAGAGGTCTGTCAACATCACTTTCTCTTTCTCTTAGAGTTCTGTGCTGTCTAATCTATGACAATGATTGTTGATTTCTAGTAAAACTACACACAGTAGTAAGTCACTACACACAACAAACTCGTTCCTCAATAGAAATTCACTAATTATTAATGAATATTTATAAATAACTACCAGCTCACTTCTGTTTCTGTGCAGGTGCCAATGCTTCAAGACAGTCCATGATTGTATGGCACACTTCTGAAGCAATTCTGTAACGGTCCCCTCTGTAGGCTGCTATATCCTCTGGGATTTGATTAAAATTGTGCCAGTGATTGGAGACATATATTCACATGAACATCATATGGTAATAGAAAGAACGGAGCATAACTTAAATATAGCAGCAGCATGCACAAGTATTCAACAGATTGATTTGATTTGTTTTGATTCAAGAACCGACATCACAGCACTTGGAGCATTCCCATAAGCGCTCTGTCCCTATCTTCAGCAGCCAGCAAAGAGTTCCGATACTAATGGTGCCAGTAGCATTCTGATTAAACGTCCGTCTTGCCTATCCTCTAAGCCTCGAGCATCTGCCAGAACCTCTCGTCACTTCCCTCTGCATATGTCTCACCAGACTGTGGTGATCCATCTGCTCCTCCCATTCAACAGATACGACAGTTTAAATCTCTGGGAATAAAATTTACCAAAGATGGCCAGCAGGATTACATTATTACCCAATGCAGTGCAACAAACTGTATACCGGAACAGCTGACTCCCCTCCTACACTATTGGACAGCCCCAACCAGTACAAAGAAACCATCATAGAAAGCATATTTATCCCCCACTTTGTGCTAATAGTAGCAGTGGTCTCTCACAGTACAGAAACAAAAATTAGAACAGAAACAAGATGTCTGGGAAAGACTGCGGAGTGTCCAGAAGAGATACAATCAAGCATGGGGTCACAAGACAATATCAGCACAGAACCAATATTAAAATACTGTACCTACAATGAAAGGCAGCAAATCAAATGGTCTGCCCATTTTGAGGTAATGAACTGTGATGCCATCAGTAAATCTCAAAGGTATCAAGAGATGATGGATGAGGCAGAAAAAAATAGCCAGAACCAGAAATCTGTTTGTTTTTTTACCCCAAAAAATAGCAGTAAAAGGGGACGAGAAGAAGAATATGCAGTGAAACCTGAGCTCTCAAGCTTAATTCATTCTCAAAGTTGTTCATAAACGAAGTTGTTTGAAAACTGAAACCATTTCAACTACTCTGTATCAACACTGTCAAATTCCAAGCCCATGCTTTTGCTCAGAGACACAGATTATAATAGAAACACACTCAAAGCCTGAGTGTCTTTATCTGGCCACAACATTCTCCAGGCCAAGTTCATTGTCCTATAGGTCACTGGCAGTCAAGCTTTGTCACAGATAATTAAACAATGGAGGTTGGAAGTGATTTTTTCCAGAACTCTTTAAGTAACAACTGTGTCAAACGTTTGTTTCAAAACATCTTGGAAACATCTTGGAAACATACAAGCTGTCAATGACCTGCTGGCCCCAAAGTTGAATTAGAGAGGTTGTGTAATAGGGACACAAACTTCACCGTGATCAATACCTTCACAAGCTCACCAACTAAGCCTTTTTTTTTTTTAAATATGAGGCTTTCAAGGTAAAAAATCTTGTTGGCATACATGAAGAAGTCTGGATGCCATATTGTTTTCACACAGACAGTAACTGTAAAGATCACAGATCACAAACATACTATATTTCTTGCTTTTAACCTAGGTTCTGAATAAACCAATGGTCAACATATGTGACATAGAACACAAGGAACAGGAAATATAATTCAAGCTGCCAGATTGGGTGGCTGGGTAGTAACAGAATAGCATGTGATGTGTTCCTTGGGATTCAAAGAGTTCAGCAATCTGCACTGTACACACAGCATATTCACACCAATACTGAGTTACCAGTTGAATGTTGAATGTTGAATGTTGAATTAAGAATTGACATCACAGCACTCGGGACACTCCCAAAAGTGCTCCACCCCCAGCAAGCCAAGAGTTCCAATTCTGATAGCATCAATAGCCGTCTGATTGTATATCCGTCTCATCCTTCCCATGAGTGTTGAGCCTCGGCTACCTCCCCTGGTAACTCCTCGCAGCGTCATTCTCCTCAGACCGTAATGATCTATCTGTGCGTCCGCACTGTTCACTCGTTCCCAAAGGGCCCTCACAATATCTAGCTCGTCATAAATCAATTCCCCACCAAGTGGTGCAGAACCGGCAAGTCTATCTGCCTGCTCATTTCCCAACACACCGGCATGATCTGGAGAAAACATCCAGAGGATGCTAACTACCCGGGACCTCTGAAGTGATGCTTGCTACTCTGCCTCCACCTCCATTCTCAAACTAGACATTGTGATATCATATGCAAGGCTTTGCTGCACTAAGTGACATCCATTTGACTTTGCTATAAACCCTCATGCACTTTGTCTGCCCCTCAACACAGAGCCATCTGTATAGATAATCACAACACCTGGGTGGGAACTGTCATGAATCATTTGTTAAACTTCTGATTCTGCAGCACCAGCTGGCCAGTGAGTTACCAGTGCTGAACATGGACATTATCTGAAGCCTATATATGTAAAATCACCAAACAAGATTAAACGCCTGACAGAAGCTGCCAGTATAATCATCCGAGATCGAGTGAATAATGAATAACTAAATTCAACGAGAAACAGCAGATCAGGTGGTTTGGCCATCTCGTTGCCTTCTTTCTTCCATTTATGAAAAACAAAAACAAAATTTGACCATGTTTTACCAACTGCGAGCAGCATCAGTTATCACTGTGGTCTGGTTTCTTTGTGCCAATTTTGTTGGTAAAGAAATTTCAATTGCACCAAAACTGGTTTGGAACGGTACTTACTCTAGTACCTAGTGAGGGTTTTTAGTGAGGGGACTGGTATGCACTATACACACCCACACACACATATTTAATCATACATGCACAAGTATTATATATATATATATATATATATATATATATACTTACACATATACATACATTTATACACACATACATACACACATATATATATATATATATACTTACACATATACATACATTTATACACACATACATATACACACACACATATATATATATACTTACACACATACATACATTCACACACACGCACGCACGCACGCACGCACGCACACACACACACACACACATATATATATACATACATACATACATATATACACATACATATATATATACTTACACATATACATACATTTATACACACATACACACACACACACACATATATATAAAAATCAATGTTTGTGTGTTTGTTTCCCCCCTATAGACTCGGAAACTACTGAACCGATTTAGCTGAAATTTTCAGGATATGTTTGTTGTGATACCGGATTTCGAACTGTCGTGGTTTGAAATTCAACCTGTCACTGTTAGAGATAGGTGACCACAATTTCTGCTAAAATATACGCAACTAATATTTATAACTTTAGTGATTTCTAATTATAGCCATGGTTAGTAATTGCGCATGCGCCGTATTTACCATTCGCCGGCGAGTTACGTGCAGCCAACGCCTTCTCTAATACTAATACATAGAGTAGGTCGTGGTACAGCAAACAAGACTATCTCTATATTTGCCACAATTAAACACGATTTCTATTTTCTGGTGTTTTTTTTCAAACAACCTTCGATGGGGAAGGGGGAGGGGGGGGGCAATCAAGGACTATCTCGACGTGGGCGCAGACAGTGACTGCGACATTAACTTCATTAACCGTGTTAGACACGTGCGATTTCTCTATTTCATTAATATATCTGGAGTATCTGTCTACGAGAAAACAATTGCCTGCAGTTTTAAATTGTGTTTTAATCGCGACACAGTAGAAGGGACACACATGTCTAATAGTTGAGTTCTCTTTCCATTGTTCCGATTAAGTGGCTGCTTGGTCGAATGGTTCATGTGCGGTAGACCTGGGTTCGAATCCGCAGTCGTTAATTTTTTTTTTACCCCGGACTAAAATAATATCCTCATCTGCTCTGTCGTGGTGACAGCACTAGCCATGTTGCCTTAATATTAAAAAAATATAAAAAAAACCAGTAAATGGGTAAACCATTTGATAATTAAATTTGACCATTTCGCATACTTATGATTGCATTGTTAAACTTTCCGATTGCATGGTTACGCTGAAATTTTATAGATTTTCATTTATTTTCATTTAGATTTAGTTATTTCATCTGTGTTGGAATTTTAAGCTGTGCTGTTTACAATGGCGTTCATTTCCTAACTATGGTGTTTTTTTCCTGTGTTCGTTTGCTTTTCAAGTGTTTTTTTTTTCTCCTAACTACTTCAATGAGGGAAAGAGTTGTCGGGGAATTTGGGGGGAGGGGGGGGGGGGCAAACTATTAACTGAGAGAGCTTTAAGTCACAGTAACTGCTTTACCCACTTAAAGTAGCAGCAGCAGTAATAGTTGTGGTTGGGCTGTTACACCATAGTGCTCTCATGTGAAGACCGCCGGTAAGGTTATGGCGTTCTTCTGTCGGCAAGTGAAATTATACATCCTAACCTGACCAGTCTGTGGCGACAGCACTAGCCATGCGGAACCAAATCTTCTGGCTCACGACTCTCTGTCTACTCCGATGGTAACACAGATAGCAGTGACATTATTTTAGTACTTGTACTGGTACTTGAAGGATGATGTGGTAAATATTACACTAGCCCTATTCACTACCTTTTACAATTCCTGCTCCCTACTTTAGTCCAGATGGACATGGATGTCAATGTCAGTTACAGCAACATCAAAATATCGCCAGTTAGTGATTTTCAAATCCTTCGAAGAGGGAGAGAGCAGTAGTCAGTGGAAGAGGGGAGAGGGTAATGACTTAAATTTAAGAGAAATTAAAGAGCTTTACACTTGATTTTCAAGTTCTCATTACCTAATTTGTTTATATTTCACTAACGCTACCTCCGCTTTTCTATTTTTTACGACTTACTTTGTTATTCACAAGTACAGTTGTAGCTTTACTTCCGTCCCCTATAAAAATACAAACAGCTTTAGCATGTGATAACCAAATATCTATTTTTGTTACTGTGCTAATAACACCATTTAAATGACCACTAATATAAAGACACAATTATAAGGTGTGTGTTCTAAAGTTGGAAAACCAGACTATCTCTATATCTGTGCAGAAAACGAT